AGCAGCAGCAGCAGCAGCAGCAGCGGCAGCAGCGGCAGCAGCAGCGGCGGCGGAAGAGCTGCGAAGGAGAGACACAGGCAGCGGCAGCGAGTTGCGGCGGCGAAACGGCAGCCGCAGCCAGCTGCAGCGGCAAACCGTAGCGGCAGACTGCAGCAACGAGCTGCTGCAGCAAGCTGCAGCAGCAAGCTGCTGCAGCCAGCTGCAGCAGCAAGCTGCAGCAGCAATCCGCAGCAGCAGCGGCGCGCCCCCAAAGACTGTCGGCGCCCGCTGCTGCCTCCGCGGACTCCCAACTTCTCGAGGCTGCTCACTGGGGGCCTAGGCTAGTCTGAAAAACTTCAGAGCTCGCCAATTGTTTGAAGTAGTTTCTGCTTTTGAAGTTCAAGTTTTGCTGCAGCTGCTGCAGCAGCTGCAGCAGCAGCCGCTGCAGCCTCCGCAGCTGCTGCTGCAGCCGCTGCAGCTGCTGCAGCGGCTGCTGCAGCAGCCACTGCTGCTGCAGCAGGCCAGCGGCCGCCTTCCCCGTGAGCTGGAGGCGCGCTCGCAGCAATTTCACTCGAGCGAAACTCCAGATTCACAAAACAAGAAAAGAACTTTCATTTTGCGGGAGCAAAAGTGCCGGGCTGGCGAAAACTCCGTTTTGCGAGTCGGGGCTGCGGTGTACGTACACCGCAGCCGCGGGCTGCGGTGTACGTACACCGCAGCGGCGGCGGCGCGCACCGCCGGCGGTGTGAGTGATCGGCGAGCAGTGTACGGAAAGCCGGAAAAAAAAAGCGAAATTGAATCTAATTTCGATTTATTTATTTAAATAAATGCAAATTACATTTAAAAAGTCTTTTTTTTCTCCAAATCGACGCTCACTTCCTCGAGATCCGCCGCCGCTCGTCGTGAATTATGAACAGCAAAACTTCGACCACCAAACACAGCAGCGAGCACACCAGGCCCACGACGACGCGCTGCAGCACACAAACAAACTCTGCTGCTGTTGCTGCTGCTGCTGCTGTTGCTGCTGCTGCTGCTGCTAGCAGCAAGTCTGCAGTTGGCCCACCGTTTCGAAGGCTGCGACGCCGCTGTACATGGCGGCCCAGTAGCCTCCGAGGAAAGTCAAGAAGATTCCAATCAGTGCGTTGACTCCCATTCTGCAGCGCAGCAACGCATGCATGCGTGCGTGCATGCAAGTGCATGCGTGCAAGTGCATGCATGCAAGTGCATGCATGCATGCATGCAAGTGCATGCATGCAAGTGCATGTATGCATGCACGCAAGTGCATACATGCAAGTGCATGCATGCACGCATGCAAGTGGCAGGTGGCTGTACACCGGAGGACCCACGCGAGGCTGCGGTTTAAGTCCGCAAAAGAGTCTTCAGAATCTTTTTTTTCGCCCCACAAACTCTTAACTGCTGCCTGGTGTCTTCGCTCGTCAGCCACCAGCCGCAGCCGCTCTTTGAAGCTCAGCGACTCCAGCGGCACGGGAGGAGGCTCTATCCGTTCTGCAGCAGCAGCAGCAGCAGCAGCAGCAGCAGCAAGCTTGCACAGGCCCCCACTGCGGCGGAGCAGCAGCAGCAGCAGCAGTGAGCTTGCACAGGCCCCCACTGCAGCGGAGCAGCAGCAGCAGCAGCACTGTGCTTGCACATGCCCCCACTGCAGCAGAGCAGCAGCAGCAGCAGCAGCAGCAGCAGCAGCCGCGGAAGCAGCAGCAGAGACGCACCCACGAGGTGCGAGCCCTCGACAAGCTCCGCCATGTTGACTTTGGGGCCATTTTTGCCGGCCTTTTCGTTTGCTGCTTTGACCTATAGGGCAAACAGCAGCAGCAAAAGCTGAATTCGACACTAACAGCACAGCAGCAGCAGCAGCAGCAGCAGCAGCAGCAGTAGCAGCAGCAGCAGCAGCAGCAGCAGCGAGCTTGCACACGCCCACACTGCAGCAGAGCACCAGCAGCAGCAAGGAGCTGGCACAAGCCCCACTGCAGCATAGTAGCAGCAGCAGCAGCAAGCTTGCACATGCCCCCACTGCAGCAGCAGCAGCAGCAAGCTTGCACAGCCTTCCACTGCAGCAGCGCAGCAGCAGCAGCAGCAGCAGCAAAAGTGTCGGAAGTTGAATTCGAAATGAATTTGCTGCTCACCCAGCGCTGCAGCACGTCCAGATCTGCTGCACCTTTCACTACTAAGCTGCTGCGCTGCTGCGCAGGCACATGGCTTTCAATGAAGCTGCGGATTTGCGGCGTTATTTCTATGAGCAAGCGAGACACCCTTTGCTGCTGCTGCTGCTGCTGCTGCTGCTGCTGCTGCTGCTGCTGTTCCTGTTTGCAAGAGGCCTTGCTGGTGTCTGCTGCTGGTGGTTCTTTGCTTTCTTTTTGGCTTCCGCCCGGCGCTGCTCCAGCTGTGTCTGGGGCTGCAGCTTTCTCTTCTGTCCCCGTGCTGCTGCTGCTGCTGCTGCTGCTGCTGCTGCTGCTGAGCTGCTCTTCTGGGGCGACAGCGGAAAGCCGCCTTTTGCTGCTGCTGCCGGGGGCCCTTGGAGCTGCCTCTTCTGCTGCAGCAGCTTCCTTTGCTGCTGCGTCTTGGGGGGCCCGGCGGCGGCGAATGGCTCCTTCGGAAGCCGCAGCTGCAGAGCTGGAGATGGAGAAAGAGTTCAGCATTTTGTCTTCGTCTTTGGAGTTCATTTTGAATTGCTGCGGAGCTGAGGGGCTGTGTTGCTCCGCAGAGGCAAAAGAATACAGCTGGCCCGCCCTTTGCTGCTGCTGCTGCTGCTGCAGCTGCGAACAATTTCAAGTTCAAGAGAGCCACGGACGGGGGCCCCGCTGTCTTCGAGGGCCCCTACACCCCGGGAGGACAGGCGAGAGAGGGCCTCCGGGGGATTTCTCGGCGAATACGAATCTTCGCAACAAAAAAAGAAATAAAATGGGGAAAGAACTGTTCAAAATGAAGCTCACGGGGCCTCCCTAGCAGCTGAGCAGCCACGCGGCACTCGGAGGGCTCCCCCGCGCCGGACACTCCCGGCAACCTGCAGGAATAGGAAAAATGGAAAAGAATCAGCTTTTTAATTTGCTCTTGGGAAAAAAAGAAAATAAAAGATAAAAGGAGTTGGTTGTGTGCAGTGGGGGGACAGGGCAGCCCCAGGAAGTTGGTGCAACAGCTACGTTCATGTACGGTTGTGTACAAGCCCGAAGGCGAAGCTGGCCTTTGCGCGGCTGCTGCTGGTGCATTTTCGGTGCTTTAGAAACTGCAAAAGAAGTATTCCCATTTGACCTTTTAAATAAGCTGAGGGAACAACTGAACTGGGGAGGAGTTTGGGGAGAATTTTGCGCTTTCTGGCGGTCGCTGCTCGGCAGCGCTGGTGAGAGGGGCGGACAGCATCGACTTATTGAACGCAACGAGCGGCCTTAATGAGGTTTTCAAAAGCTCAGCCGACATATAACATTGAATATCAAATTCCTCCGACGCGGCTTACTAGTGCAGCAACAGCGAAAAGGGCGGGCGATCCACGGCGTTGCCTGAGATGAGCTAGTTGTTTGTCAAGTGTCTAGGAGCAGCGCGGGAAGGAGTTGCGCGGCGACCGACGAGACATCCTTATTTCTCGAGTTCTGCCTTTAAAATCCGTTCTTCTTTCTTGAGAAGAAGTCTCTTTGTGCAGTGTAGGGCTTCTTCTGCCCGCGCATCGGCTCGTCAGTCCAGCCGTCAGTGTCGGCAGCGGCTCTCGAGTGCCGCCGTGGAGGAATCCGCAGCGGTCGGCCTATATTTGCTCCTAAGTAGTTTAAAAAGTGAAGCTTTTTGTACAGATCAATAAGGGTTCAGCGTCTGAGGGTTTCCCCCTACCCTGCCGGAAATTGGCAGCACAATGCCGCAGATGGAGGCAGGCAGCAGAGGCCAGCGCGGAGAAAGCGCTGCCGACACTGAGAGAGCTGCTAAGGCGCAGATCTCCCAAGTTACTCAACTCTTTGCGCGACTGCAGCAGGTGAGTTTTGCTGCAGCAGCAGCAGCAGCAGCAGCGGCTGCAGCGCGGCCTGGGGGCTCCCGCGGCCAGCGTTTTGCACAGTTTCCACAGGCGGGGCACAAGTGGCTGCGTAGGAGGCCATTCTTTGGCCCCTTTGTTTTATTTATTCTTATAATTCCTAATCTTTGATGCTTTCCGCAGGAAATCGAAGAAGCTTGCCCGAAAAATGCCATTCACTTCATTGTGGACTTCCTCTGCAAACACTACCCCGAGCACCTGAAGGGTTTCGCCTCTGTTTGGAACGCAAGTGAGAAGCCAGCGGCTCCGCCTTCCCTTAGCTTTGCCAGGCTGTGCGCCTGCGCCGCTCCCAGCTGCTGCTGCTGCTGCTGCTGCTGCTGCTGCTGCTGCTGCTGCTCTCAGACCCCGAGCTGGAGAGAGAGCGGCTGCTGGTTGTTGAGTTTTTCAAAGCCCAGAAGCTCCCGACTGACGTCGCCTCGCACTTCACGAATGCGGGATTTGACACGGTGAAGGCAGCTGCAGCTTTGCAACTTCTCGTTTTTTGGCTGAAACTTGGGTTCTAATTGCCAAATAAAAAGATAAAATAGTCCATTTTAAAGTGCTTTTCACTATTATTCTATTTATTAAGGCGGATTGGATCGTTTGGGCCTCCAAATGGACTTATTATTGTCGCATTTCAAGTGCAAATTGAACTTTTCTCCAACTTTTCCCTCTCCCCGCAGCTCGAAACCCTCTGCACGCTGACTGCTGAGGCGCTGGACGACATCGAGAAGTTCAACCAGACGCGGTGGCTGCCGGGCCACAAAGTGCGGCTGCAGGTGAGGCACTTGAAGTTTTTTTTTGTTCTTTTTTGTTAATTTTTTCCGCATTTGACTTCATTTTCTCGAGCCTTTTCCCAGCTAGCTGCTCCAGAGCTGCTGGCTAGCCACGAGCAGCAGCAGCGCATGCAGAGAGCCCCGTGCGGCTGCTGCGCTGCAGCAAACCTTCGCCGACATCGCGGGGCGAGTGCGGGCCTTCACCGAAGAAAGGGACTACTTGCTGCGCGCTGCTTCGGGCTTTTGCCCCCACCCGCAGCTCGTCAGCAAACAAAGTCTCGTGCCAGTCCAGCCCGCGGCCTTTGCCTCTTCTTTCCCCCCTTCGAGCGGCCTCTGCTGCAGCCTGGGGCCTCCGCAGGCCTCCACTTCCGTGGCTTACCGCGCGGCGCCCTACACCGCCGTCTACAGCCCCACTTCAACTCAAGTGGTCACTTATTCCCCGGACTTGACTCGAAATTAGTCTTGGGGTTTCGGGGCGCCCGCCGAGCCCGCCTGCGCCGGGCGGGCTGCGCCGACAGCCGATTTCACAGGCTCTGCTGCCGCCTGCACTTTCGCGTCCGCTAAAGGCCTTTGACGCGTCCTTAAAGCGCTCAAACTCCGCAACTAAATGATTTAACCTGGCTTTTACTCTATTTGAGGCTTTTCCTCCTTTGTGCTCTTCCTCTTGGCCGCGCCGGGGAGTTCTTGCTGCCCGGCTGCTTCCAGTTTCGTTGCTTGAGAAGCGGTAGGAATAAGGCAGCGAAACGCACTTGTATTAAAAGCAGAAACTTAGCGAGAATGTTCTGTTCGTTAGATAGTTTCGAAAGCTCAACAGTTCGAATGTGTCCCAGCGAGTTGCGCAGATCAGCTCTGTAGGCGTTCTGCACAGGGTGTATCGACTGCGAAGGCGAAATTCAACTTTGCGATTTTCCCCTCTAGTCTTCTTTACGGGTGCTACGCTCGGCCCTGTCGTTTAGTCACCAGCTTACAATTAGGACTTTGCAACACAATGAGGAGGCTAGTGTTTGCCGTGGGAGCGGCGCTCGCTGCCAAGCGGGCGGAAGCTGATCTTCCGATTCACGCTGTCATTGTGGGTTCGCTTTCTGCGGCTCTCGCTGACTTGTTTTGAAACTGCGATTGCTGCAGTCCGACGTTGTCGGGACTTGGCGGTTTGTTTTAGGGGGAGAGGAGGCGGAGGAGCCGCTGTCCTGCGGGGGCGGCGCGCCGAACATGAACATGGAAAACTTGGACCCGAGTAGGCGGGCCGCGGAGTTGGACTGCATTTGATGTTTGCAGACAACTTATTTCCTTTCCCGTTCGACCAGGCATGGAAAACTACCCTTCGTGGATCTCCAAGAGCGGAAAAGGGCTGGCCAGCCGGCTGGTCTTGACGGACCAGCGGGCAACTCGCGCGCAGCCCACGCGGCAGCACTGGAGCTACTTGGTGGTGACGCTGCCCCACAGCGGCCTGCAGATCGGCACTTGGACAATGGTTTACGACGAGGGCTTCGAAGTGAGTCTTTGCGTTTTTTGCAAGAGTTGAGTTCAGTTTGCTGCCAGCTGCGCCTCGGCAAGAAGCGCTTCTTCGGGCTCATGAAGTACAGCAAGGCGGGGGGCAGCCAGTGCAGCCGGCGGGTGAATGGTCCGCGCGCATGCACTTGAAAAAGTTTTTTTTTTTTTGCAAAAGTGGCACTTCAGGGGACTCTGAGGACCCTTTTGGCAACACCAAGTGCTACGCCACGGACCCATCGAAGCTGCAAATGGGGTGGACTGTGAAGGTGATTTGAAGTGTTTTAAGGCCTCAAAAAGCTGCCAGAAGGCCCCCCTGCTGCCCCAGGAAACCCGCGCTGCAGCGGGGGCCCCCTTGAAGTGGGGCTGTTTCTACGCAGAAAAAGAAATGCCCACAAACGCGGAGAACTCCTTCGTCATGGCCGGCCACGGCTACGGGCTTCCCGTGCTGCCGGCCGCGGGCGCTGCTGCTGCTGCGGGCCAAAAGTGCGGCTTTTGCTGCTCACAGTTCAACTTCTAGCAAAGATTTGCTGCAACAAAGCCCCGCAGGCTCCTGGACTGCCAGCCACAGCCAGTTCGCCCACACCCCCCCCGCCGAACTCGCCATGTACAAGAGCCACATGGGCTATCAGAAGTTCCACCGGACAGTGGCCTACGCGTTGCCCGCGTTTGCCCAGAGGGGCCAAACGGCCGATTTCGGTGAAGACGCAAATCCTTGCACTTTCAATTTCATTTCCTGTTCAACTTTTCCGCAACTCAGCAGCCACGGCGCTGCAGGACAAACCCTACGCTTGCGAACTGCCCCTCATGCTGCACGCTGAGCAGGCTGCAGCGCCGCTGCCGGCCGAGTGGTGAGCGATCTTCGGACTTTCTCTCAATATAATTCTATAAAAGTGCAATTAAGGACTTGGGGGGACCCTTTTTTGTCTGTAAATTACGACCCGGAGGCAGATCCGGTGGTAAACCAAAGTGAGAGCTCACTTGTTCACCTGAGGAACTCGAGAAAGCTACGAGAATTGAAGAGAACTGCGGCAGCTGCTACGCCGTCTCGAGCGCCTTCGCGCTCCAAAGACGCTTTGAAATTCTCATCAAAAAGTTGTTTCCCAACTACGATCAACCTGTATTCCACTCTCCGCTTTCTGCACAAAGCGTCCTGAGCTGTTCAGTAAGTTGGACGAACACAGCGCAAATTGCTGCTCATTTTGCATTTAAATCTTGAATTGCGACGTTGGTGTAGCCATTCAATCAAGGCTGCGACGGGGGCTTTCCTTTTCTGGTCGGGAAGCACGCGAAGGAGTTCGGCATCGCGACAGAAGAATGCCAGAAATACATGGCAACGCACAACCCATCAGTTGCACCGTGTCTAATGCAGTGGGTCACTTAATTCCTTTTCAAATTCGACTCGAAAAATGGTATTTTCTTGCAACAATCCCTCTGCGCAGCCTTGGAAACTTCCTCCGCTCTCCCGCGGAATCAGCCCCCGGCTGCGCACCGGAAGACCGCTGGTGCGCAGCAACTCTCCGCCTTTTTGTGCAAGTTCTGCTGCAGTGAAGCGCCTCTAACTTGCTGCAGGTACGCTCAGGAGTATAACTACGTGGGTGGCTTTTACGAGGGCTGCAACGAAGAAAAGATCATGGAGGAAATATACAACCACGGGTGCGGCTGACCCTTTCCCAGCGTCGGCCACCTCTCTTATGCCACTCCCGTAGGCCTGTTGTGGCGGCCCTCGACGCCCCTGACGCTCTTTTTCTTTACGAGGATGGCTTTTTCGATGTGAAGCCTTCGGATCACGGGAAGCTGTGCGACTCGCCCAACAAGGGGCTGACAGGTTTGTGCAGCTTTCTCTCGGGCTCTGTGCAGCAGCTTCACCCCGGGACTCTACCAGGGTGGGAATACACGAACCACGCAATAGCAATCGTGGGCTGGGGCGAAGACCCGTACGTGTTCTTAGCCTCAAAACAATAATTGCAAAACAAAATGGAAAAACAAACGCAGACCCAGGATGCCCGGCATGGCCACCCGCAAGTTCTGGGTGGTTCGCAAGTAAGCGGGTCACTGGCTCTGCTGCGCTGCAACGCTCAGCCCCTCACCCTCCCGCGCAGCACCTGGGGCAACGACTGGGGGAGAAACGGCTACATTAAAATGAAAAGAGGCGAAAACCTCGCAGCTATAGAGTCCCAGGCAGTTGCAATAGACCCAGATCTGCGAAGAGGCAGAGCCGCGCTGCTCGTGCAGCAGCTCCGGGCTCAGGCCGCCAGCGAACAGCAGCAAAACGCTGCTGCGTAAACCACTGCAGCCTTCAAAAAGAAAGAAAGCGCTCGCCAACTGCAGCACTAATTACGCAGTGATCAATAGAATCGGCGAAGCAGCTGCTCTCACGCCACTTGCTGCTGCTTTTGTTGAATCACTGCCTACTGTTCAAGTTTCAGGGGCTTCTCTTGCAGCGGCTACAGCCGTTCTATGCAGCAGCCCTTCTGTCACTATCCAAGAGGCAATGATTCGTGAGCCTCATGGAGTTCGGCAGCGCTCCATCTTTCCGAATCACCAAGTCTTATTCTGTCATATTCGTAATGTCGCACGTACGACTAACGAACGAGACTGTCTTGCCCTAACATAACTGAAGTAGTGCCCCTCCAACTATTCAGATATGATATATTTGAAAAAATTGCAAGAAAAAGACCAACTAATTTACGCAGGGGGCAGTGGCAGCCTAGCGTGGGCCTCGCCGAGCGGCTGGCCAAGCCCTTTTAGCAGTCTGTCTGAGAAGTTGCAACCAGCACAGAAGTCTTAGAAATTATAATAATATGTGAATTAGAGGTCTTTAGAAACGTCGAAGCTCTGATGGCTCCTTCATGAGACGCCGCAGGAATAAGGTTTGAGGCGAGTGGCGCAGCGCAGCGGGCAGCAGGTCAGCAGAGTACCGAGATCAGCTGATGTTTCTGCCCCTTTTATTCTTTTGCGCATTTCAATTCTCCATTTTAGAATGCACAGGAGTTTCTTTCAGACCAGCGGGCCGCAGGTGCAGCGCGCATTGCCAGCCGGGAGCGTTTTCCCCTGGGGGGTTGCTGTCTGCTGCAGCCCGAGGGGGAAGGCACTGCGAAACAGAGGCGGAACATTCCCAATTGGTTTATTTCTCTAAAGTTTGCTGCTTGAAAGCTGCAAAGAAGCCGCAGAAGAAGCTGCAGCGAGAGCTGCCGACAAGTGACAGCCCCCAGCATCGACAGCAACTGTTTGCTAGGGGGGAAGAATGGGCACAGCGAACGATTCCCGCTTCCTTCCTTCCTCCCCTCCCCTCGTATTTACAGAAAACGGCATTAAAGAATGGCGAGACTGTCTCAGTAGCCTTTCTCCGGAGATTTGACTCTGGGGGAAGCCTGGAGCTTTCTGCAGCGGAAGCTCAGCCGCTGCAGCCGGGCTGGGCCGCCCTGCTGCTGCGGCTAGCGCTGGCGCACCTGCTGAGCTCCGTGTCAGTGGCTGGGGGCCTCGCAGCAAACTTGTGGCTGTCTCGCCGGGGCCTCTGTGTGCGTCTGCCGCGCGGGCTGGGGGCCCTGGGGGCCCTGGGGGCCCTCCACGCCCGCGCCCACTCCTGGCTGCTCTCCCGCGTCTGCCCCAGCAGCCCCTGGCTGCAGCAGGTCCTGCTTGGCCCTTTCTTTGAGGAGCTCGAGTTCAGGCTGCTGCTGCCGCTGCTGCTGTCCCGGGCAGCAGGCCTTGCTGGGGGCCTTGCGGGCGGCCGCGCGGCTGCTGCTGCGAAAGCGGAGCAGCAGAGTCGCAAAGAAGGGGGCAGTGCGGCTTCTTTGCAAGAAAGTGAAGATGAAAAGAAGTGGCTGAGGGAGCGGCGGGCCAAAGGCGTTTGTGCAGCATTCAGGTGTCCGTACAGCCCAGCAGTTGTGGTTGCATGCTCCGCGCTCTTCGCGCTCGCCCATTTTGAGTCATTTCCACTTTCTGAAAAAAGTCCTTTTCAGTCCCGCCGTGCTGCTGCAGCAAATTGCTGCATTCGCGCCAACCGCTGGCTGACAGCTTTGCTGCAGGGGCTGGCCTGGGGCCTGGGGCCTCCTCTGATTTTGAAAGACACGCAGCACTCAAGTGCTGCGCTGCTGTCGCTGCTGCTGTCCTTCTTGCTGCACGCCCTGAACAACCTGCAGTCTGCTGCGCTGCTGCAGATGCTGCAGCGGCGCCGCAGCAGCAAACGCCGGGCCCAGAGCCCCTTCCCGTTTGGAATTCTGGACTCTAGTTAGTCTTCACTTCAAATGAAACTTTTTAGTTGATTAATTTGGTTCTTTGAAGTCTCTCTTCCTCCCCTTATCTGGCAATCCGACAGTTTTTCTGTACTTGTGAATGCTTCTGCTGCTGCTGCGGGTCTTTCCGCCAAACTTAAGCTTTTTAGTCCTGCTTACGCGGGCCACTCTGCAGCCATTTGCCTCTGACTTTAGTTCAATGCACAGTCAACAGAGAGGCCGCTGCAGCGGCAAGAGGAGAGCAGCAACTTTAGTTCCCACACCAATTGTGCCCAAAAGGCCTATAACTGCTGGCTGGCCCCCCGTTGGCCGCGGCGCACAGTGTTGTATAGAGATATTAGGCAAGCACTGTTGCTTCAAACATTCTTTTGTGTAGTTACGTGCTGTGTGAAGGAGCACCGCAGCAGCTAGCTGCTGCTAGCTGCTGCTAGCTGCAGCTAGCTGCGGCGAAAAGTGGAGGCTGCAGCAAATTTTGCACGCAGAGTGTACGGGGTTCAGGTGTATGCGAGCCGGGTCTTGACTTATATTTGAAACTCGGGGCCTTCCGTTGTAGTGAAACTCGGGGCCTTCCGTTGTTGTGTTTACTCCCAGTTTGTGGCTGTGCGCGGCTGGGCATTCTGCAGCGTCAAACCAGCGCTCAAACAGTTCTGTTTCACTAAAAATAATCGAAAAAAGAAACTGCTCTGCATGAACGCAAGGTTTCCACTGTGAAATGTACAGAACCGTGGGACGATGCTCCCAATGAACCGCAAACGCAGCAGTCTGCACTGTCACATCAAGAAATGCTTGGCCCTATAGAGATCCCTACAAGGTAATAAAAAATAGAAATACAATTTGTTCTAGAAGGGCTGATATAATTTTTTTTGTCCGCCAAAATGCCCCCTTGCTCCCGCTGCGCCGATGCCTTCCCCCTGTTCAGCTCGGCGGCGGTCTAAAACAGCAGCAAGCGGGAAGAAACGGGAGCGCCATGTTGAGAAAATAGGCGCCTTCTACGACTTTTGCAGTCAAATAATACTATTTCGAATTTCAGAAGATTGCAGAAAGGGAAAAAGTGCTCTTGATTGCTTCTTCCTGCCTTGCCGTTCTACACCACCGCAAACCGCTCAGCGGCGCACTTGTCTTGTAGCCAGCTGAAGTCCGCCTGATGCTCCTCCTTTAGCTGCTGCAAGGTGAACTAATTTAAAATCCATTTCAGTGAAGCTGCCTCATAATGCTTGTATACTTGGGGTTTCCTCCGAGTCCCGCGGCGCGTTCGGCTCTCCCGTTTCGATGCACACTTTGAACACGATGTGCACTAGCGTGGCAAGGCTCCCCCTTCCTGAGCTGCAGGAGTCAATTTTCATTTTCTTTTAAGTAAGAGGTCTATCAAGCCTGCCCCGCAGGCTCAACATTGGCCGCCTGCCTCCCCAAACAGCTGCCATCCTAGGCCATAGAGCCAAGAGGCATGATGAGGGGCCCGTTGCTGCAAGCCACCTGGCTGATCCTCCTTGCAAGCGCAGCCCTCAGCCACCTTGGAGCAAATGCTGTAAGGCGTTTTGCTCAGCGCGAGCAGAGAGCCATGGGAGCACCAGCTGCAGAGCCACACGCAAACTCCGAAGACTCGTCAAACGGAGGCGCCCCAGTTTACGCCTTGCCTGAGTTCTACCACTCGTATGATAGCATGCAGAAGGAGCTCCGAGCTTTGGGGAAGTCCTGCGGCCTTTCTGTGCACCAAGCAACCCTCGATGGCGTGACGGTGGGTCTGATGATGTTCGTTTACTTCGTCTATTTCCTGTTCGTTTATTTCGTCTATTTCCTGCATCGCAGACACTGTAAAGATGCAGGACAGGGATTTTTAATTTCCTTTTTTATTCCTTCCATTCCCTTCCAAACATTTCAACACTTACATGCAGCTTTCGGCGCTGTTCCGCAGGTTGACTATTTTCACTTGAAGGAAAGCCCTAACCCATCAGAGCGGCTCTTCCTGCTGCCCGGAGACCACCCAAGGGAGTTGGTAGCCCCCGAAGTCGTTTTTGCCTTTCTAAAGGCCTTATGCAGCGGCCAAGAGGCCCCCGAAGGCTACAGTGCTGAGGCACTGAGGCAGAAGCTGCATGTCATGGCAGTACTTGCAGTCAGCGTTCCAGCGAGGCGCGCAGTTGAACAGGCAAGCGGAGCCTTCCTGGGTGGCCCCTATCGAGAATCTTTGCAGAAAAATCATCAAAAAGAAGAGACAATCCTTAAAATGGGCCCTCTTTTGCAGATCTTTTCACTTTAGAATGCCTTATCTTTGGTTTGCAAAGTAGACACACAGTGCCTGCGGCTTCCACGGCTTGCATGCCACAGGGCTGCTGCGTTGCTTTCGTTTCAGGGGGCCTACTGCATGCGAAGCAGCCCAAGGGGAGTAGATTTTAATAGGAATTGGGGGCAGAGTGGCGACTCGGCAGCAGCAGCAGAGAAAGACCACTCAAAGTACCCGAGGGCCCCGCAACAACCCGAAGTACAAATTCTGATATCCCTTTTGAGCCAGTTTCAACCTACTGTCTTCGTCTCTGTGCATTCGGGGAGATTCGGAGTCTACACGTCTAATGAGGCCCCCTCAGGAGACGCAGAAAAGCCCCCCTCCACCCCTAGCGACGCTGCAGGGCCCCCGGGCCATTTGCAGGAAGCTGCAGAGGGGGCCCCCACCACCGCTGGGGAGTCTCGGGAGCAGCAGATAGCTGGAGTTGTCCATGCTGCTGCTTGTTCTGGCAACAGTGTGCCCTGCGAGTTCGGGTCCATTGACAAGTTTTTCGAGGCCACAGGAAACGAAATAGATTTTGTGAAGGCACACCTAACCACTGACGAAGGCGAGCCCCCCGTAGCCCTCGCTCTTGAGGTGTACAGACAGGGAAACTCCAGCAACGAAGACGCAAAGCTGAAGGAGGCCAAGGCTCAGTTGCTGTCCTTGCTGAGGGCCCCCGAAGACCTTCTGGAGCTGACCCTGCCTGCTGCAGCAGATGTGGCAGACCTGCTGCCACAGGAAACTGGGGGGGAAGACGCCCTGTACACTGCAGAGGCCCTCATCAAGTGGCAGCTAACGAGAGGCCCTCTGGACCGACTCAGCTGTTTCTTATCTTTCAACCCTGCCACCCAGTCCGCCCTCAACTCCGTCGTGCGCCTCTGGGTGGAGGCCCTCTTTGCCCTCGCTGAGTCTCTCTGACAATTTACGGGTTCTCAGGGAACTTGTCTTTTCGTTCGTGATTGTAGCAAACATGCACAGGGGGAATAAAAATATGTGTAAATTAATAGATATCTATTTGGCATACGCAAATGTATTTATTTTCACAAGTCGAGCGCCGGAAGAGAGGAGCCGTCCACACAAACGAGGCGTGTGAAGGGCCCCCACTGAGGTGCTCTTACACTCCGCAGTGTGTCTCTACAACAGCCAGTTGGCTACAGCTGGAGCCACAAATGCACAGCAGCAACACACAGCTGCTTGCAGCATCTACTTGGTGTACTAACACACCTCTAAAGTGAATGCAGCAGACTGCATTGGGGTGTCTGTACAGCCCACTGGGCTCCGTTTATTTGCCTCGAGGCGCCTCCACTGGGGCCTCAGAAAAGCGGCTAGAAACAAGACGGGGCCCCCATATGCCGAACGGGGCTGCTCCTTGTACTGGGGGGCCCCCAGGCGCTCGCTCTTGGGGGCCCCAAAGTGTGGATGCGGCTAATTTTATTTTGTGTCGGTGCGTGGGTCCTCCTATCTTTGTGGCTTCAGCTACTCTGCAGGCCTGACAAATACGTGCTGGCATTTGTATCTTAATTGAAGCTAGAGTGAAAGCTAGGGCCTCTTGAATGCTTTGCACGCATTTGTATCTTCAGAAAAAAGCTAGAGCTTGATGAACACTCTGTTGGCAATGTCCGACACCAACCAACTTATGCCCTCCAAGAGGCCTGTTCCGTTCTTAGCGCTGCAGGGGATGACCGCCCAGTGGCGAGACACACTCATGTCTGAGAGTCCCAGAGCCTGAAAGACAGCCGCAGACTGGCACATAACAGATCTGATCTGCCCAAGTAGACCGAGTGCTGAACTCGTCCTGTATTGTGTTGTTCTGCTGTATGTACACCCAAGTGTAAGCGCCTCAGACTGCCCGCTAGGACCAGCAGAGGCGCTGCCTGGTGGCGGCGCTGCAGCTGCTGGGAGCCACACAAACCCAAACCCTCATCCCTGAGCCCGCAGCTGCTTTACTTCTTTGATTCCCTCAGGCGAAAGGGCAGAGGGCACATCTTGTTTGTTCGCTAAGATCAACACGGGAACTCCGGCGAGGCGCTGCAGACAGAGCCACAGCAGCTTGGGAAGAGGCTGACTGACTTGTTTCCTAATGCCTTTTCTCAATTTCTCTCTATAAATCACTGTAATTGGCACTTTAAAGGCCTTATGGGGCTGAACAGGGAAAAAGAATGATCTTTGTTACGCCAAGAAGAACAGGCAAAGCCACACATGCAGGTCAAGCCAGGCAGACCACAGACGCACAGAAGCTGAGACGCCGCGCACTAGAAGACACTGACAACACCTTAAGGCATAAGGCGAAAAAGTGGCAGAGAGGATTAGGCAAAGCGAAGGCACGCGGTGCGGGCGAAAGGGAAAAGAGAAGAAAAGCAGCGTTCTGCGTGTGCCTGTAGCTACCAAATTGGCGCGGGATGCCTTTCGTGCGTTCTTGTACTTAATTGTACATAAATGGCTTGCGTGTCTTTGCAGTTATTTGCATTTATGGAAAAGGCTTGCTTGCTTGTTAAGGTTCGTGTGCTGGAGTTCATCTTTGCGCTTACCTCTTCCTTCAGCAGTCTGTGCAGTTCTTCTTTGCAAATTTTCATTCTGTCTCTGTCTGCGGAATCCACCACCCAGATAAGACCGTCTGTACACTCGAAGTAATGCCTCCAGAAGGCGCGAATAGTCCGCTGGCCCCCCACGTCCCACACACTGAGTCGAAACCTGAAAAACGTGAATTTGCAAAAAATCAAAAATAATCAAAACAGCGCAATACATGCGCGCCGCAGCACCCACAGGCAGCATCCAGGTGCTCAGAAAAGCTTAGGAGCTTATCTAAAAAGGAAATTAAAACAAACAAATCGACACAAGTGCCACTGTCTGGAGAGGCGGGCAGCTGGAGGGGGGGCCGCGAATGCCTGCGTGGGCGCCAGGCCTACGCAGCAAAGTCTAAGACTTTAAAAGGTCCAAGACTTTAAAAGGCCTTGGACTTTTTAGGCAAGAAAATCCCACTGACCCTTGAAAAGAAAAAGGATATATTGTGAACCCAAGAGTGGGTGCTACAGAGTCCACCTCAGAGCCATTCAGGCGCCGCACAAATGTTGTTTTCCCCGCCGCGTCCAGACCGCTGCAAGGACAAAAGAACATGACAGAGTAATAAATAAATAAATGGAAAAAAACCAAGGTGCATGCATTTCTAAAGAAACAGCCAAGTTCATCCTCTAAGGGTGCCATCTCGGCTCTTCAGAGGAAAGCAAACAACAACTTGCACACAGCCACAGTCAGCATAAGCCGCAGGGCAAAAGCCTATTCAATGCAGACAGCCTCAAAGAGGGCTTCTGCGTGGCCCATTGTCCGTGGCCTCCAGCCGGGGGCTTTTTCTGGGCTTGTGTGTCACCTTTAGCCCCTTTAGTCTCAACAGGAGGGCCTCTTGGGGGCCCCCAAGTGCCCCGCAGAGGCCCCACTGAGTGTGCTGCTGCTGCTACAGCCGTAGTCTGCCTCTGGAGGCCCCAGTATAGGCCCCAGCTAAGGGCTTTGTGGAGGTGGGGAGGCGCACAGCATTAGAATCCGCAGTTCTTTCTCTCTCGCCTTTGTTTTCCTTAAAACCTTGAGGAGCACCATTGTCAATTGCGGGCCCTGGGGCCCCCGTGCAGCGCAGCGTCCACCCACTAAACACAAAGTCAACTTTGGGGGCCCCGAAGCCCCAAATTGGCGCAGCTGAGGGCTAAACTGGAGGGGCCCCGAGGGCCCCTCTTGCCCGGTGCCAGCTGGCAGCGAAGACCAGCAACAGCTGCCTTGCTCCGGCTCTCAAGAGCCTTTTTCTGCCTTCCTAGCGCGTAAAATGAGAAATATAATGCAGTTTCAAACAAAATAAAAGCCTAATTTGTGTAGGAGGCGGTATTTTCCCAAAGACAAGCGTAGGGTGGTTGGGCACACGACCGGGTCAGTGGCGGCTGCAGGGGACCTTGCCAAGCCACTCCGTGCGCTTGTTCCTTTTCTGCGCTCAGCAGCTTGCATGCAATTGCATGCATCCGCAAAGGGCCATTTCAAGGCCAATTCACTCAAGAGGAGGACCTTTGCCCTCCTTCTCGAGGCTCACACACGAGGGGTTTGGGGCCCCGGGGCCCCCAGGCTCCACCAGAAAGTCACTTGCAGCCGTTCACAGCCATCCAGGCCCCTTGGCGTGACGTCTTAGACTAATAGCCTGTCAAGGGGGCTCAGCATTCTTCTGGGGGAGGTGTAGAGGCCCTTTAAAGGAGGCCGAGCGGCCCTCAGGGGCCCCACAAGGGGCCCCCAAAGAAATTCCTTTCTGCCGGGCTTGACTGTCAAAACACCCTCAGGTGCCTCTGGGCCGACCTCCTCTGCAGAGGGGCCCCCTGCTGGGCGACAAGGGCCCCCCACTATGTGTGTAGAACGAGGCAACTGGCCAGCGGCTAGCTGAGGCATGGGGTCCCCCCAGATGCCTTCCCAGAAAGAACGCGGGCCCGATGGGGGCCCCTACGGTGGGTCCTCAGCGGACCTTTCCGTGGAGTCCGTAGATGCGTTTCTGAACGAAGTGACGCAGCTGCTGCTGAGGGCCCCCCACGGGACTGCAGCAGCAGCAGCAGCAGCAAAGGGCGTGTGGGACTACGACCTCGGGAGCCTCCTGTCTGACTTCCTGCGCCTAACTGAGGAAGGCCTCATAGAAATGGAGCATGCTGGGCAGGGGCCCCCCGAGGGGTCCCCTGCTGCTGCTCTGTCTCCACGGGAGGGGGCCCCCTCCACCCCGGGGGCCCCCGCCCACACAATGAAGTTCTCTCACGCTGCAATGCTGGTGGAGAGGTCAGCAGCTGTTTGGGGCCTCCGCATAGAAAAGCTGCATGCGCTGGCGTTTAATCTGCTGCAGCACGCGCAGCAGCAGCAGCAGCAGCAAAGGCTTGAAGGCAACCCTCAGGGGCGCAGCGGGGCCCCTGCAGCTACACACCTCTCGCTGCAGCAGCTCAGACAACAGGCGCTGCAGCAGCTGGGATCGGCTCCCTGTTTGCTGCTGCCAGAGCCCCCTCCAGTGCTTCGCAAAGAGGGGCCCCCCGGGACCCAGGGGCCCCGGGCCCCTGACCTGGTTCAGTTGCCTGCAGTTCTTAGGGGCCCCTCAGCAGTGGCAGCAAGACAGCGGGATGAGGGGGCTGCTGCACAGCCAGCAGAGGGGCCCCTGGGGGCCCCCGGACCCACAGACTCAGCAGCAGCAGCAGCAGCAGCAGCAGTGAGTATGGATGCAGATGAAGACCCTAGGACTGCCTACAATGAGCTGAGGGAGCTGCGGGTAAGTGCAAAGGATGGGGCAGCAGCAAATTCTTTTGGGGCAGAACAGGCGCACGATTTCAGCCAGCAGCCATCTTGCACTGCTGCTGCTGCTGCTGCCACTGCTGCTGCTGCTGCTGCTGTTTGGGGCCTCCAGGTAACGAGCCTCAAGGTGCACAGAGAAACAGGGGGCATCCTGGCCACTTCTTCAGATGCAGCTGCTTACTTTGACTTGTGTGAAGGGGGCCCCTGCCGCGCCCAGAAGAGTGGCTCCCAGGGGGCCCTTGGGGGGCCCCCAGGGGGCCCCGCCCGCTCTTTGCTGCAGTCTGCTGCAGCAGCAGAGATCGGCGACAGCTGGGAAGAGTACCCAGACTTCTTTTCTGCATGCGACCCTGCAGTGGCCCCAGAGCCAGAGGCGCAGGGGCCCCCTGCTGCTGCCGCTCAAGGGGAGCTTCAGGAGGGTTTCCCTGCAGCAGCTGCAGCACAGCTAAGGGGCCCCCCTGGCTTCGGCGGGCCTCCCCAGGCGACGGCTGGGGGCCCCCAAGGGGCCCTCACTCCCCAGAACCCCCCTGCCCCTGACTGCTGGGTGCAGCAGCTGCTGCAGGAGTCTCGAGGGGCCCCCCAGGAGGCCCTTTGGAACTCAGCTTCTTTCGATATGCCGGAGTTGCGGGCCGCTCTTGGCCTTCCGGAAGAAGAAATGCCCCAGGGGGCCCCCTTGGGGGCCTCGGGGGCCCCCGAGGGGCCCCCTCTGCACCGCCTTGCCTTCCTTAACTGTAAGAGGCACAACAGACACACGGCAGCAATGAAGGCGCACGCAGCAAAGCCATTAAAGCGCAAGAAGCAGCAGCAGCGGCAGCAGCAGCAGCACGGGAGCTACAGACTTGCGAATGACTGGCTGGGTTTTGCTGCGTCGTTTTGTTCTTGCAGTTCTCTATGACGACTTCTTGGGGGCCCCTCTAACCCCGCATTCTGATGAAGGGCTCACGGGGGGCCTCTCGGCTTCAGCCCGCCTCCATGTAGAGTTCCTAATGGCGAGGCAAAGGCTAAGGGCCCTTCCGCGCAGCGGGGGCCCCGGGGGGCCCCTCACTGCCATTGTGCTGCAGCAGCTGCTCCAGGGGGCAGCAGCCGGGGGCGCAGGGGGCCCCCAGGGGCCCCCCAGAGACCCCAAGAGGCGCTGCCGAGACTTCCTCATGAGTTTGCCCACGACGTGCGAAGACCCCAAAGAGAATCAGGGGCCCCGGGGGGGCCCCACCTGCAGGTGGGTTTAAGTCTAATTGGTAGCGTTGGGCCTTCGTGGGGGCCCCTGCAACACTAACGGGAGCCTCTGCCTCACCCCCCATTGCTGCTGCTGCTGCTGCTGCTTGCGGTGCTGCTGCTTCGAACTGTGGGGCTGCCGCGCGTGTCGGTTGCTGCTGCGCGGCTCAGGGCACCCCCCGCCAGCATCCTGGGGAGCCCAGCTGAGGACTTGCTGCTGCAGGACCCTGGAGCTGCACTTTTAGTTCACAGGGCCTCCACAAAGGAGGGGCAGGGGGCCCTTCTGAGGGGTTTCTGGCCCCCGCCGCCGCCCTGGCTGACCCAGGAGGGGGGGGCCGCCTGCGGCAAGCCGGGGGCCCCCCTGGGGGGCCCCCCCTACAGCACGCTCCCAGGGTACCCTAACATTAGAATGCCCGCGGCCCCCCACGCCCGCCTGCTTGGGCAGTTGTTTTGTCCCCCGCTGAATTCTCAGCAGCAGCAGCAGCAGCAGCAGCAGCAGCAGCGGCTCCAGTGGATGCAGCGGTGGCGGTGGGCCGACGACTTGCTGCTGCTGAGACTGAGAGAATGCTTCTTGGCGAGGAAGCAGGCCCTCAGGCTGCAGGTAGGGGAGGCCCTTCTGAATCCCCAGCCCTTGGCTTTCTTAAGAATGCCTACACTCAGGGCAGGATATATGCTTCGGGGCACTACAGAAGCAGCAGCAGCAGCTGCTGCTGCTGCTGCGGGCGGGCTGGTTGCTTCTGGGCCTGCTGCTTCTGCAGCACCCTCTGCAAGGGGGCTGCTGCTGCTGCCGGTGCTGCTGGTGTGGCTGCAGCGGGCAGCCTGCAGGCGACAAGCCCGGTTGGTACTTCCGCGGGTGCGCGTTCTGAGTTCCTCTGCAGCAGCGGCAGCAGCAACAGCAGCAGCCGAGGCAGCTGCAGCAGCCGAAGCAGCGGCGGCAGCAGCAGCAGCGGCACAGGCAGAAGCTGCTGCAGCAGAGGAGTCATTACTAGTGCTAGAGGGAGAAGGAGACGACGAGCCATTTGCCGACGAATTCGTACGCCCACTATTCGTTGCTGCTGCTGCTCCGGGCTCTGCTACTTTTGCTGCTGCTGGGGTTGCTGCTGCTGCTTCCAGTGTCTGTCTTTCTGCACGTGCAGTGCCCGATCTGCGGAACGTGCTCAGGCGACTTGCTGTGTTGCTGCAGCAGCAGCTAGATCCGCCCTTGCTGCTGCCGGTGGTACTGTTGTTGCTGCTGCTGTGATGCTGCCGATTCTGTTGCTGGTGGTGCTGTTGCTGCTGCAACAACAGCCAGGCCCGCCGTTACTGCAGCTGGTGGTGCAGTTGTTGCTGCAGCAGCAGCCCGACTTGCCGTTGCTGCAGCGGGCGGTGCTTTTGCTGCTCCAGTAGCAGCTCGGTCCGCTGTTTGTGCAGCGAGTGGCGCTGTTGCAGCTGCAGCAGCAGCGAGATCCGCCGTTGTCGCTGCTGCTGCTGCTGCTGCTGCTGCCGCTGCAGGAAGAGGATGCCGATGCCTCCACTTGTGGGGAGCTGCGTTTGAGTGCAAAGGAAACAGCAGCAATAGAAGAGGAGATTCGCCGGGCTCAGCGCGAACGGCTGGCGGTGCGTTTTGCGTCTTTGCTGCTTCTGTCTTTTTGTACTTTCTGCAGTTCTGGGGATCGGCAGCTGCCCTTCCAGCCTGCCTGCCGCTGCTGCTGCTGCTGCTGTTGCTGCTGCTGTTGCTGCTGGGAGCCTCTTGTGGCAGGGCCAGGCTGCTTTCTTTGCAGTGCGCAGCCAGGAGCAGCAGCAAACCAGAATTAATGGACTTTCACCTGCAGGCGCTGTGTCTGTGTCCCAGGAGCTGAACGCAGCAGCTGCTGCAGCAGCTAAACACGCAGAAGGGGGCCCAGCAGCTGCAGCAGCAGCAGACGAGGAACTCGCCATACAAATGAGGTGGAGCCTTTTATGCTGCTTCTGCTGCTTGAAACTCCTACTTGCTGCTTCTGTTTGCTTCTCCTAGCTGCTAGCTATGACCGCCAACTGTGTTGCTGCTGCTGCCTCTGAAACTGCTCGTTCTTTGGGTTCCGCTGCTGCCATTTCGTAACCGATGCGATTGC